GATTTACTTATTTTAACTATAAAACTAATAGAATGTTTAATTGCCCTTTTTGCCATTTTATCTGCCCTCTCGTTTCCTTTCTGCGACCTTCTCTGCTCTTCATGTTTTTACGCTCAGCTGACTCCAACGTCAGGCGGACGCGCACGCTGACGTAAACGCGCCGTCCCCGCCCCTGCGCGCGCCCGCCGAACCCTTTCTTTTTCTAACTTTTTTGAGATTCATCAAACAGGCGGGAGAAAAAAAAAGAAACATAAAAAATTAATGCTAACTAATTTCATATTTCTTCATAAAAGTGAAAATAAAACCACTCAGAGGAAATAAGATCAAAGAAACAGACGGAAGTCCTCGTCACCAGAACAGAATATTATTGTTCTGATTTATGGCTGAAGATTGAATGAAAACATGACAATTTATCAACATCCCATGAATGTGTTAAATTCTTCATTTACTGCGGTAAATATGAAATCATTTAACCACCTCAGAATTCTCAGAATTATAGATGTAAAACAATAAAGGTTGCTGCTGTGTTTACCTGATCAATCAGCTTTTATTTAACACAATCAGACACGTGCCGCCTGTTGGTCTAGCTGCCACTCTAGATCTACATTATTTCTTGATTAAATAAAAGTGAAATAAATTTACTTTGGGGAAAATGTCAAATTTCTGACTAAAGATGTTTTAAATTAAATATGAAAGAATGCTACAATAAAAATAGTGTTGATAATCTTATCTTATTTAGTATTAAATTAATTTATATATGTTCCCCAGTTATGGGAATATGCCTCTGACATCATAAGGACATGCTGAATGGAAGGATTACTGTACCGTCTCTATTATAGAACTACAAAGGCCCTAATGTCACTATAATCCATCTGATCCCACAGATAAAAGTCACTATAATCCATCAGATCCCGCCGATTAAAGTCACCATAATCCATCAGATCCCACAGATTAAAGTCACTATAACCCATCAGNCTATAATCCATAGATGAGAGCAGGGACCATATAGTGAACCTTATAGTGAACTCATTAACTGACCGTTCAGAAAGATGATCACTGCTTTTTGCTCCGTTGGTCACATAACTCCTCCTCCACCGTGCAGTGCCTGCACCATCTTTGTTATTAGTCGCCGCTGTCCGGTAGCGACAGCCTGTGGTGACAGCGGGCTGCTATGACGGCTAATCCCATATTGATTTGAAAGGAGAGCTCTCCTGGCAAAGCATTCTGGGATATATCTGCTCCTCCAGTGACCATGGATGATCTACTTTTCAAGGTGCATTATGGGAAATTTTTAGTCCACTACTTTTACATCCACTAGACGTTTGGACACCCATTTAAAATGGCGTAACCACGTCATAGTGATTAGAGTGGACATTCGGACAGTCTATGTTCCAGAATAGTGTAACAAGAGGAGGAGGAGGAGAGTCTATCCATCAGCACCTGTGGTGAGATGGACCCCTTGGCAGAGGACAACGCTGGACCAAGGCTGGTAGGAGGAGCATCTGGCAGAGTTCATCCTGTCAGAGTCCAGGGAAGAGTGTCTGTCTCTGGGATCATCAAAATAAAAGCTGATTCAGGGTAAAATCGGACTGCAGCTCTTTAAACTAGAGGTGAGCCATACTGGGAGGTTTTAATCAATCCGATACCAATTAAATACAGGATCAGTATCGCCAATATCGATACTGATACTTTTTGCTTCCAAGCTTGGTGTATCATGGAACTGTTAAACTTTCTGCGTTTTTGTAATTTTTATTTTATTATAACAGTTCAACAATAATAATATTAATAATGTTATATTCATATAGTTTTTTTACTAATCCACCTCGTATATATTATATCTGTCAATCCTTATGTAATTTTGTTTGTATTGTGTGCACCTGCCTGTTTCTTTACTTCTATAAATGTCCCCGTCGTGGGATAAATAAAGGATTTGTTAATGTTAGCCCACTTAGATAACAGGTTTTAATGGGTTTATTCAAGGTCTTAATTAAACTTATGGCTCCAGTAATATATGACATATAACAGTTCATCTGACGGTGATCACTCTTATCTACCTAGATATTCTCTGGAGGTCTGAAACGCCTCTGTCAGTGACGTCTGTCTATTGTGTTTATATAAGCTTGTGGTGTTTCCACTGTATTTAACCTCAACCCATACAGCTGTTTTTTTCCTTTACAGTTTAAAATATAACCAAACGGCTCAGGAGCAGCAGCGTGGTTGTTTGTGTGTCGAGTGGAAAGAGAGTGGGCGGGGCCAGGCTGAGCCTGCTGAGCCAGTGAGGAGATGGGAGGGAGGAGCAGCAAACTGCAGTGACACAGACAGACTGGTGAATCTGCTGCAGTTAGTGCATGCAGGAGAGAATGAAAATTATTGATCTTGTTAAACGAATATTGTTTAATATCAATGCCCACGTTGGTATCGATAGTATCGATCCTTGGATTGATCCGCCCACCTCTACTTTAAACTGATCTCTGCATCGATAACCAATGTGTGGAAGTTGGAATGTATCAGAGCAGCCCGGCCTAATTCTGGACTTGATTCTGACAGAGAATCGGTGGGGGAGCTAAAGATTAGGGAAATGGTACAGAGACCTTCCAGTCTCAAAGAGCCAAAGATCATTAATGCAGATAAAAATAAGGCTGTTGGACGAAGGTGTGATGCTGCTTTAAACATTTTCCTGATTTTTGATTCCAGATTAAATGAGATCAAAGTCTAAAGACACACAGATCATTCAAAGTTTTCTTTCCTAAAGATCTTTTGAATCTTTTGAGCCCATTTCAAATATCTCACAAACAAAGTGACATGAAAAAGGACTTCCAATGAAACCTACAGGGGTGTGATTACTTTTGGATTGAGTTAGCTTCCCAGGAGGGCATATCTGGTGATCATGCTAAAGCAGCCTACCTGGAGGCAGCACAGTTGAGGCCTGACCGGTCCAAAGGGCCTGAGCAGAACTGGCAGCTTCAAACAGTGCAATGGGGGTTTGTTGATAAGATCTGTTCCCAGAGGTCTCAGCAGAAGATGGTTCTTTGGACTTTTTATGGGATAAAATCCCTGAAAAGGATAGTTTTTTGGAGAGTTGCAGAACAACAGGAAGCAGAACCTTTAAGCTTATTTCCAAACCAGATTGGATCAATGCAGGTTACAGTTTGACCTTTGCATAGTCTGATATCACTGCTGTTCAGCAAAACAGCAGAGAGCAGGAGGAGCTTAGAAAGGCATTAAGAGGAGCTGATGCTGCAGTCCAGCCTCTGAAGATCGGTCCGGCCGGCCATGGCTTACAGTCCGCTGTGTCTGTTTCTGCTGCTGAGCAGCTACGCTCTGGCACGTAAGTTTTTACCTTCACTAACAGAAACACCCGCACAGGTTCCTCGTCTCGATTTAACTTTTGGTCAGAACAGGAGGAAATCACCATAGCAACCAGTGTCTCAGCATTTTCTGGGCCTCTGGTTGGTTCGTTAGTCTGCAGCCTCCTCTTCCTCTGATGGACCTTCAGTGGGACCTCAACATTCCTCCATGTCTGGTTTAGCATCAGTCTTCCTGCTTTAACTCTGAATACATTTTTAAAACCCTCTAAAGGAAGCTCAGCCAACTGCAGCCTCAGCGTCTGGTCACTGAGCCAAAGAGAATAGAACCGACCCAAATGTGTTCGATGCATCTGACTGTTTTTCGCTGGACCTTAACTTTCATCTCAGCTCCATCATTTTAATCCTGTTTATCCTTTTGTTTTCAGAGGATGTCCAGGAAACGGCTTCATGTCCGAGTAAGTTCCCAAGCACAGCACACACTGCATGAATCTGTGGTTCTGACAGGGTCTGGTTCAGGAGCTGACTTAATGCAAGCAGGCAGAAATCTGCTGATGGATCAATGCTGCTCTCTGAACTCGGCCTGTTTGCTGAGATAGCAGCAGGAGCTGATGGACCTATATAGTTCCTGCCTCAGAGGGGTTCAAAGGTGGGCTGTCCCAGGATGACAGGAGGACCGACCGGTCTGTTGACCCATGATGCAAGGCTAGGGATGCACAGGAGGGCATGAGGTCGCCTGTAAGGGTTTGACTCAACCATGCATTCAAGGCGAACATGCAGACACTGTTGTCTCATTGCAGTGGCTTCAAGATTCAAGGCCCAAAGGAAATACGTGTACCAGTACGTCGCAGACAGCCGAAATGGAGTGGTCGGTTCTGCCGGCCTGCAAAACGGCCTTAAAGTCACTTGTGAGGTAAGAAGCAGTTGAGCTGATAGCAGCGTCTATCTGAGGTCCCCTCTCTGATCCATGGTGTCTGCAGGTGGAGATCCAGATCCCCCAGATGTGCAGGTTCATCATGGTCACCAGGGACTGCTCTCTCAGCGAGGTGTCCACCATGGATGGTCAGCCTGAGCCGTTCTACAGCCCGGCGCCTGGCTCCGACGTCTTCAGAGCCAGCATGGAGAAGTCAGTACATAATCATGCAGGAACAGAACATTAACTGAGGATTCTCAGGATCCATGAGGAGGGGTAGGAAGAGCTGTTTGGTTGCTCTTCGTTTCTCAGAGCAAAGGTGTCATCCCTGCAGGTTGGATGATACCAACAGCAACCTTACTGATGCTCGAATGAGACATGTTAACCCGGTAATATAGGAACTTACTCTAAAGAGGATGTTCTGTTTTAGTTTTCCAGGGGAGAAAACCAACCTCATTGGTCCAAGAATAGAAGAGGATCAGAACCAATGACATAGAATCAGGCTTAGAGATGATAGGACTGGGTGAAAGGCAGTGGTCAGAAACATGGTCCATGTGCAGAAATTTGAGGAATCTTTGCCGCTCCTCATGGACATGGCAAGGACGAGGAAGTCAGAAAACAGGAAGTAATGCTGGACGACTGATAACAAAGGCTTTCAATAATCTGGCTGCATCTACAAGTTTGGGGCTTACTTAAGAAGGAGGACCACAGGTGGACTGAATGGGCAATCAGAGCAAGGGTAAGACAGTAATGGGAATGACGAGGCCAGTTTAATGAATATCTTAAGCAACAGGACTGCAGCTCTGCCAGACCTATTATTTCAGAAGGTTTTGGTTATCTGTGTCAGTCCAGCTTAATTGTGGTTTGTGTTTAAAACGATGGTAAAAAGGTCATTAAATGCAGCGTGTTTCTGCAGGAGTCCTCTGAGGGTCATAGTCCACTCAAACAGCCATGTGGAGGTCTACCCTGAGGAAGACGAGCCTGTCAACATCCTCAACATCAAGAGAGGAATCTTCTCTGCCTTCATGGTGCCCATCATGGAGGACGGACAGAGCAGTCTTATGGTTAGAGTCCCATAGTGACACCGGAGCTTAAAGTTATAGTGGAGGATTTTCAGAAATTTTAGGAAAGATCCGCCCTCTCCACTTAAGAAAAAGAAAGGCACATCCACAAAAATGTACCTGCTCCCAAGAAGGAATGCCTTTTAAACAAGTGTGAGAGTGTGCACGAGCACATTTCTCCAAGTGCACCCTCTGTTTAATAGTTGCTGTTTTACTTTCCAAAAGAAAATCTGCAGTTTCTCCACTATATCCTTACGTAAGCATATCACCAGAATGACTGACAGTTAGGAGGACCACTGATTTGGCTGATCCACCCGGAAGGAGCATCCTCCACTACACCTTTAATCTAGTTCAGATTAAACCAGATGAATATGCAGTGAGATGGTGTAAGTGAGCACTGAGCTGATCTGAGTTGGTGTTTTCTCCAGAGCACCATCCATGGGCGCTGTCTGACAGCACACACTCTTCATTCCAGCCAGGAGGTTCGTCTCTCCAGAGACCTGTCCCAGTGTGACCAGTTCTACGGCAGGAAGCCCACCAGTAGCCCAGTAGCTCTGCTGCAACAGCTGGTGAGGAGCTGCTTCCAAAGTTTTGGTCCTGCTGCAGATGTTCAGGTAGAAATATCTTAGCGTCTGCACCAAGGTTTAGGATGAAAGCAGTTGGAGCCCCTCAGGGTGGGGCGGCACCCTGAGGGGCAACAATCATTTAGAGTCCAGAGGGTCAGGATGATCATCCATCCATCCATCCTCCACCCTCAGCCCACTGTAACCATGGTAACCACAGCCACGGTGACTCTGCAGAGAGGAACGCTGAAAAGTGGACAGTCCCCTTGTTTAAGTTGTCTTCTTGTCTGTCCACACCAGTCCATAAGGTGCGAGGGTCAATGGAGCTGCTGAAAAGCAGCCGCTGGGAGGAGTTCTTCCTGCTGCTGCTTTCTGGCTGCTCTGTGCAGAAATTACGACTAACTTAGACTCTAATTTCCTGGTTTCAGCAACACCCCATCTCCAAACTCATCAGCAGCTCTCAGAGCTGCAGATATCTGTTGGATAGCCGGGGGACACACGTCAGCACGGCCTCATGCACTGAGACGCACCGATACCTCCCCTTCTCCCACGGGTGAGGGTGGATCATGGCACATGTTTCCGTACGCCGCTGAAGGTTTCTGACCTCCTGCTTTTCTGTCGCAGGGAAAATGGAATCTCATCTGTGGTAAAGCAGGATCTTAACTTTCAAAGTGTGAAAAGGATCAGTAGCAGAGGTTTTGGTGAGCTTTCATGATTGGCAGCAGTCCCATTTTTGTTTTAATTTGGGAACTAAAACTTGAAGTCTTTGTCCTCAGATGTTGAGCCCCGGCAGGCAAAGCCTCTACACTTTGATGAACCGGATGATAAAACCGTAATCCGCACCAAGGAGGACATTCTGAGCATCCTGCAGGAGCTGGTAGCGCTAGCGAGCACAGATCAAGGCCAGAAGAGGACCAGCCTTTTCCACCAGCTGGTGTCCAGCATGAGGTCCCTGAGGAATGAGACTCTCAGCCAAACAGTAGCTGAGATGGTACGAGTGTCCAAGTGGCTGACCTTCCAGGCTCTGTTCCAGTGCGGAACGGCAGAATGCACCAGTGCCATCCTGCAGGTCATCTGGACCATAGAGGGGGTCTCACTGGAGGTAGATGCTCTGGTCTACCTGCTGGGTCTGCAGGCCAATCCTGATGCAGCACGTGTGCGAGATATGCTCAGCATGGCTCAGTACAAACAGAGCAAAGCCATCATGTATGCGCTGGCAAACACGGTGAAAAGGTGAGTAAAGGCCTCAGCAATAGATGCGTTTAAAGTTCATGGTCACAGTCACAGCGTTTCCTGCCCTCACAGCTACGAAAACAAATTGATGTTGTTTTGTTCTCCTAATCTAGTCTTAAAGTCTTGCTGCTTGTGGTCTGAAAACATCTGGAAAGAACTTTTTTTTGTAGGAAACGCAGAACATATGATTTCCTCCTTCATTAGGGGTGTAGAAATCTGTCCAGGGATCTGGAATGTCATGATAACCATGCTGGGTCAGATACTTGTCTAGTAACCATAGATTATCGCTACCTTTCAAGGTGCATTGTGGGAAATTGTGAGTACACAACTTTTTCATCGCCAAGACATTTGGAAACTCATTTAAAATGGCGTAACCAATATATAGTAACAAACTCAAAACGTAGGGCCCAGAATTCAAGCAAGACAGATGGTGGAACATTTAGAGTATGCTACAAAACTCTCTTTAATAAAAGCTCATGTATAATCTGCTGTTGTTGAAAACATACAGCGTAAATAGGAAACAGGAACAGGTGGATCTGATGAGGAACAGGGCAGAGCTAGACAGGTGAAGGAAATGAGCAATCAAGCCAGCCATCAGCGCCAAGATCATGACATATAGTGATCAGGGCGCACATTCGGACACGGCCTTGGTAGACCTTAGCATGTTGAGCTTACATTAACCGCCCATCACCCTGGGATACAAGATTTCAGCTACAAATGCAAATAAACTTCACAAACCGTTTAAATAGTTAATTATTAAACAATATAAAGTTATGCTGTGAATATGAGGTGACCCTATGACATCATCAGACCTGTTGTTTCTCTAAATATTAACATGCTAACACTCTCAGCTCATCATTCTGAACTGGAAGATGGTTTGAAACTTGAAATCTGTTGTACAACCCAAAAATGTTGTAAATCACAACATTTAACCTTTCCACATGCTATCCAAAGCTAATGATGCTACTGATGCTAATGCTAGTTATAGTTAGGTTTAGCATCTGGGACCTGATACATAAAGTGGTTCTGAAGCAGCTCTGCTTTGTGGACAGGTTCTACAAAGGAGGAGTAACTCCAGAGATCAAGGAGGTGTCAAAGTTCATGGAGATGATCTTAAACGAGTGCTCGGAGGACAACCGCGACTCTGAATCCCCTTCAGATCCTCAGGAGGAGGCCTTTCTCGTACTCAGAGTGAGATGTTTCACCAGCCTTTGCAATGTTTCACCAGATTACGGAAGTTTTGTCCGGTTCTTAGTGGAGTTTTCTTTTCCTCACCTGCAGGTTGTTGGTGTCATGGGTCGGGCTATGCAGGACGTCAGTCCATCGCTCATCTCCTCTATCCTGGGATGCATGAAGAAAACTAATATACCGTTATCAAACCAGAAAGCAGCCATCCAGGCCTTCAGGCTGATGGAGATCACTGATGAGGTGGCTTCTTCTAATTCACATGATGACATCACTGTGACATCACCGTAACACTGGCTGAGGCTACTATTGTTATCAGACCTCTGAGTGGTTTTTATATTTGGCCCGGCACAGATTCGGCGTTCCCTCCTGGAGGTGTACCGGGACCCTCAGAGTTCAGCTGACAAACGTCTGGCAGCCTACATGGTTCTGATGAAGAACCCGGACCAGTCCGTCATCAGAGAGATTACAAATGCTCTAAGAGATGAAAAGGATGAGCAGCTGAAGAGCTTCGTGATCTCCCACCTGCACAACATCCACAGCTCTGATGAAAATCCTGAGTGAGCATTTAGGTCCACCCTGGACAGGTCACCAGTCCATCGCAGGACACAGGCACAAAAAGTCACACAACCATTCACGCCCACACTTACACCTAAGGAGAATTTAGAGAAGCCAGTTAACCTAACAGTCCAGTTTTTTACTGTGGGAGGAAGCCAGAGTACCCGGAGAGAACCCAGGCATGCTCAGGAAGAACATGCAGACCCCATGCAGAAAGACCCTGTGTTTCCTGACAGGAGTTGAACCCAGGACCTTCTTGCTGCAGGGGTCAGGCAAACCATCTAGAGGGGGAAGCACAGCTTTGCTGGCACTGTTTTCAGTGGGAGGGAGCTGCTGACCCTGAATGATCGAAACATCGCTGGACAGTGGAAGGAATACACGCCTTCCATGGTGGAAGAAGAGATGGGGGCTGAGAGCCACATTTGTTCATCACCCACGTTGAATTCACAGTGGCTTCCTGAGTATCTCTAGATATTGTCAGGCTATCATGGCTGATTTGCCTCTCCAACATTGCTTGGAGGTCAGGGACAGTGGCCCCTGGATAGGCAGACTGGGGTGGTGGTCCCTCCAGCATAAGAAGGGGGGCCAGAGGGTGTGTTCTAACTACAGGAGGATCACACTCCTCAGCCTGCCTGAAGGCCTATGTCAGGCTGCTGGAGAGGAGAGTCTGATGGAGGAACCTCGGCTTCAAGAGGAGCAGTGTGGTTTTCTCCTGGCCCTGGAACAGTGGAGCAGCTCTGTACTCTCTACAGACTGCTTGAAGGTTACCCATCTAGGCCATATTTGTTTAGTGGGTTTTAAAAAGGGATTCAAATGTGTCCCTAATGGGAGTAGGGGTCCCTTTACTATGGGCCATACGGTCTCCATACAAGAGGAGCAGGAGTCTGGTCCATATCGCTGGCATTCACTTGGACCTGTTCCCAGTGCAGGTTGGACTCTGACAGAGCTACCATCTGTTAGCGGTGCAGTCAAGGGGGTCTGGTTTGGTGACCAGTGGATTTCCTCCCTGGAGACTTTTCCACTTCAGGTTGGAGGACTTTAGTAACTTGGTGTCCTGTTCACTGATAAGGGGAGACTGGAGGTGGAGATCCATAGACGGATCGGTGCTGCTGCTTTAATCCAGAC